TGGATACAATACCTTTGCTTATTTATTTTTATGTGGTGCTGAGGATGGAACCCAGGGTCTCACACATGCTATGCAAGTGCTCTACGGCTGAGCCACAGTCCCAGCCCCAAGTTTTTGTTGTTTCTATAAAGGAAATTTGTTTTCATTATTATGTTCTTCCCTGGTTTTTGATGGTATATAAGAAAACATCTAATTTTTTTTATATTAACCTTCTCCAACTTACTTACTGAATGCTTTGATTATTTCTATTAGTTTTTTAGTTGCTTTTCTTAGATTTTTCTGGCTAGTCTTTTTTCTCTTCATTCCCAATACTTCACTGCTTCCTTAGTTTTATTTCTGGCATGATATCATACCTTACTGAATGGCTACAGTTAGCTATTCTTTTTATTATTATTATTTAGTTGTAGTTGGACACAATACCTTTATTTATATGCGATGCTGAGGATTGAACCTAGGGCCTCGTATGTGCTAGGTGAGTGCTCTACCCTGAGCCATAACCCCAGCCCCATTTAGCTATTCTTTATAGCTCTGCACAATAAACTAGGCAGAACAATKAGAGATATTTGAATATTGACAAAGCAACCTTGTAATTTCAGTACTGCTATATTAATTGCATTCATAGTACAAAACTTAGTTGAAAGTAAATTCATTTGTTAGATAAGAGCAGGACTGGATGACTTCTGAKCGAGTACTTGATAGCATTGATTGAATTGAGAGAAAAGAGTTGAGTGACTAAGAGGGCCATGGGTGAGAAAAGGGTAGAAGAAAGACAGTAGGAATAGGAGGCCAAAAAGAAACCGTAATGTCTTATTGAGATGAAATCATGGTAAAATATAAGATGGTCATTGATAACTGATGCTACTCAGCAGTGTTAGAATAAGTGTACCAACACAAAGCCATTGTTTTTGTTAYCAAGTAGTCTGTGATCTGCTTTAGTCTTTCATATACTTGTTAATTGTAGTTCTTAACTATTTTATGGCTTCTTTAATTTGTATTTTTTTCTATTAGTGTGGTGGGAGTACTTATCAAAACTTACTTCTATGAAAATCAGTAGTATTCTTTGAGTAGTAGAATTGACTGGATAATTTTATGTGAAACCTGAAAGAATTATACCTTAATTTCAGGTCATGATTGTGATTTAAGTTCTATGTTTTGAACCAATCCAACTATACTCTGTGCCAATAATAGATAAAAACATAATAAGAAAAATTTTTTAATGTAATCCAGAAGACAACATAAACTAATTTGTATAATAGAAATGCAAATTCACAACTAGAAATGAAAACATGGGCCTACCGGATTTGAGGTCTGGAAATGGCTGGAGGTAATTGGGAGTTCAATTTCAATGTGGTATTGGGAAGTTAAAATGTCACAGAAGACAGGAGTCCATAGCTAGGCTCAATAGTTAAAAGTAGGAATTTCAAGTTGGGCTGCCCTGCTCCTATAAGGAGGGTTGTATAGGAAATTCCCTGAGGTTGGGCTGGGTTGTGACTCAGTGGTAGAGTGCTTACCTAGCATGTGTGAGGCAATGGGTTCAATCCTCAGCACCACATAAAAATAATAAAATAAAGGCATTGTGTTCATCTACAATGAAAAATATTTTTTAAAAAAAAGTTCCCTGAGGCCATGGCTTATATAAAAAATACTTATCTAGAGTCATAGAAGGGCCTAAAAACTGAACAATACTTGAGCCATTCTGCAGTGGCTTACTGCCAGAACCTGTAGTAGTTCTGATATATGGAGCTTCCATTCACCTACAGGACACCTGGTTTTCAACTAGGGCCCCGCTGGGCAATGGTAAAGGCAAACAGAAAGATGTGAGACAGGACAAGATAAATGGAAAGGGATGAAAAAGACAGAACCCTCTATGGGTCTGCAAACTAGGCCAGACACATGCCTATAATCCCAGCTTCTTGGGAGGCTAAGACAGCAGGATAGCAAGTTCCAGGACAGCCTCAGCTGCAGCGAGGCCCTGAGCAACTTAGTGAGACCCTGTCACAAAAAATAAAATGGGCTGGGGATGTAGCTCAGTGGTTAAGCACCCCTGAGTTTAACCCCTGGTTTTAAAAAAAAAAAAATCTGCAAACTAAAATTCCAAAGCATTATTTTAAAAAAGAAAAAAGCTAAACCTAGAAGACATTCAACAAAGTCAACAATCAGAAAATTTATTCACTCTCAGATGAAATAGACTGATTTTATTAAAAACTTAAAAAATAATAAGTATGGGGGCTGGAGTTGTGGCTCAATGGTAGAACAATTGCCTCCAAAGTGTGAGGCACTGGGTTTGATCCTAGCACCACATAAAAACAAATAAAGGCATTGGGTCTATACACAACTAAAAACAATATGTTAAAAAATAATAAGTATGTTTAAGATTCATCAAAAGATAAACCATTTTAAAAGAAGAAATTATGATGAATAAGACATGAAGTCAGAATAGACAGCTAAGTATAAGAACTGACTACTCATCTTAAGAATAAAATATGAACTTATGGAAATTGAATCATAGAATGAAAACTAAATTAGACATGGWTGAAGAAGGAGTTACTGAAGTAGGAAATTGTTCTGAAAAGTTTACCCAGTATGCAGAATACAGAGAGACAGAAAATACTCAAAAATATGTAATTATGCAGCTAGGAAACATTAAAAATAGAATAAGACACCTGAGAGTAWAGTTCCAGAAGAGGTTCTAAGAACAACTAAGAAACAGTAATCAAAGAGCTAATGACCAAGAGTTTTCTAGAACTGAAAACCTAYGTCCTCAAATTAAGAGCACAATCTAAATACTGAACAGGAAAAGCAAAAGTCAACTATAAAGATAAACATTTAGTGCAACTATAAAACAAAAGATAAAAGAAAAACTTAAAGGCTACCAGAGAGGAAAAAAATAGATTTCCAGAAGGGTATGGATTAGACTCTTTTCAACAACAATAGGAGTTTACAGCCAAAGAATTTTAAAAATACTGAGATGATGACTTCACTTCATTAAACCACCATTCAAGTTTAAGGGGAAAAATATTAACAGCAAAATAAAGATATTTTCAGACAAAGACTTTARATTATCTTTGATATGCCCTATTTGAAAGGGCATCTAAAAGGGCATCTTTTTAGGAAGAAGGAAGGGGAACCCAAAGGTAGGAGTAGGTATACTTTTTGGCAAAGTTAATTAGCAATGATAATCAAAATAATTATTTTTGTCAAAATCACTCTGAAATACCTGGAAAATAATAAAGAAATAAGTAATTGAAGAAACACTGTCATGTGAAAAAAAGAAAAGAAAATGGAGATGCTGAATAATTTTAACTTTATTTTCCCTAATAAAACCACTTATTAGGAGCTGGGGTTGTGGCTCAGTGGTAGAGTGCTTGCCTGGCATGTGTGAGGCACTGGGTTCGATTCTCAGCACTGCATATAAATAAATGAACAAAATAAAGGCCCATTTAAAAAAATAATCTCTTTAAAAAATAAAAATTTAAAAACACACATATTAATATATTGAATATATTGAATACCTCCTGTGTTTTAGGCACTRTTCCGGAGTTTGGGAGTAAAAGAGTTTTTAGAGGAGGTAAAGTACAGACTGCTTTTTAAAAGGCACTATTAACCCAAACAGATTTAAAGAAATACATGGTTAAATGGGGGCAGGGATCCTTGAAAACGTGTAAAAATAGGGAAGAAAAGAAAGCTGTGGCAGTATTAATGTTAGAAAAAAATGTAGTTTAAGGTGAAGAGCATTAATGAAGCAAAATGAGTAGCTGGAGCAATCTGTTGTGAAATTGAAAGTGAAAATTAACAGGATTAATTGACAAGTTCAAACTCTTGTGAAAGATTAAATAGAATTGACAAGTTCACAGTCTTGTAAGAGATTATAGAGTATCTATTAAAACTGGTAGGGACTGGGGGTGTAGCTCTTTGGTAGAGCCCTGGTCTAGCATGCACTGGGCTATGGATTTGATTCCCAGCACTGCAGAAAATAAAACTGATAGATAAACAGAAAATTCATCAATATAGAAGACTTGAACAAGACAACTAATAAATTTAATTTAATACAAATAGAAAAAATTTTAACCAACCACAGAGATTATGCAGTAATTTAGAGTACACAAGAAATATTTACAAAAATTTTGTCCTAAATGACAGAAATTCTCCAAAATTTAAGGTAACCAGAATCATACACAACATAATCTCGAACCACAGTAATTAAACAGAACAAACAACAAAATGAAACAGTATAAAAAAAAAACAACTTATTTGACTAGAAACTAGAACATGTACTTCTAACAACTTAATATGTTGAAGAGGAAGTTTGAAAACAGCCTGTGTAGTACACATGAAGTAGGGAGAATGAAGGGTATATTAAAGATACGAACAGAATTAATAAATAAGGGGGGTTGATACTTTATTAATTGCAAGACAGACCAAGAAAAAGTCTGTGTTATTTGAATCCATTTCTGTTCAAGGTTTATTTTCTAAGTTAGCAAAGTCTGTCTCTCTCTCTGCATTTTTGTGGTACTGGGGATTGAACTCAGAAGCATTCTACCACTGAGCTACAATCCCCACCCTTTTTTATTTTGAGACAGGATCTCAATAAGTTGCTGAGGCTGGCCTCAAACTTAGAATCCTCCTACCTCAGCCTCTGAGTAGCTATAGCTAGTATTACAGGCATGTTCCAGCATTCCAGGCAGCAAACTTAGATATTTAATATCAACCAATAAGAAAAACATAGGTCTCATAGTGGCAATGCTATGGAATGGTTTATGGGTATTGAAATGTGAAGTTCTAGGGGGAAAAACCCCAAAGGTATAGAGATTAATACATATAAGTTCATTGCCAAATTTTTAAGAATATATTTTCCATAAAACAAAAAAATTACCTATAGAAACTTAAAATATCAAATTTGTAGAATTGTTTTACTGTTGCTTATTTTGTTTAAAATGTTTCTGGCCTTTAAAGAAAAGTTTGTTCTGCATATTTGAGGTGTTTTCTCTGCCTTGTTGTAGGTCACTCAGACGAGCCGTCCAGACCTGATTCTCTTCCTGATGAAATACCTGATGGCTCTCATAGTTGGTATTCCCTCTGTTTTTTGGGTTGGAAGCAAAAAGACATGTTTTGAATGGGCCAGTTTTTTTCATGGTCGTAGGAAAAAAGAGTAAGTTAATAAATTCTCATAGTGTTCATAAACCTTACATTTATGTAAGTTTTTTGTTTGGCTTATCTTAAAGTAGATATATTTATTTATTTATTTATTTATTTATTTATTTTTATGTGATGCTGAGGCTCGAACCCAATGCCTCACCCATGCTAGGTAAATGCTACTGAGCCACAGCCCAATCCCTTTTAAAGCAGTTTATATTTGGAGAAGTATTCAAATAAGATTGTAACTTTGTCAGCAACCACCAGTTATGATTGGCACAGTAGCAGGTCTTAATTAAAAACTTTTTTAAAAAATTATTTTTAGTTGTCAATGGATATTTATTTATTTATTTGCAGTGCTGAGAATCAAACCAGTGCCTCACACATGATAGGCAAGCGCTGTACCWTTATTTTCTATACATTTTTTATTTGATCCTCTTGATATTTCTGAGAGGATTTGTATGTATTTGCATCTCTGTTTTACAGATGAGAAAACTAAGACATAGAAAGGTTAAATGCCTGGCCAAAGTCACACAGGTACTTAATATTAAGAGATAAATTGAGAGGCTGGGATATAGCTCAGTGGTAGAACACTTACCTAGCATATTTCCAGAACTGGGTTCAATTCCCAATAATGCAAACCCCTCTCCCTGCCCCCAAAAAGATGAATTGAACTTCCATTTGGGCTAAGGCTATAGCTCAGTGGCAGAGCACTTGCCTAGCATATGTGAAGCATTGAATTCTATCCTTATCACCACATAAAAAATAAAATAAAATAAAATAAAGGAATGCTGTCCATCTACAACTACAAAAAAAAAATTGAACTTCCATTTGCAATTGTCCATTGTTCCTCCAAGTATACAGAAGATGATATAGAGAGATGGACTGATATTTCATTCTAATTTAGTACGTTTGTTTAATTAATTGATTTATTTTAATTAGGTATATATGACAGCAGAATACAGTTTGATTCATTGTACACAATTGCAGCACAACTTTACGTTTTTATCATTGTACATGATTTGGTGTCACAGCATGTGCAGTCATACGTGTACCTAGGKTAATGATGTCCATCATATTAAAGTTTATAACCTCAGTTTTTTGTTTTGTCTAATTGCAATCTGAAACTTGAAACAAAGTTAATTTTGAGTAGTGGCAGTGGGTAGTCTTATTTTCCTAATTTTAAAGAGATTATTTYTATATTATTTCTATTTCTAATGGTGTTTCCATTAAACGTTTGGCTTTGAATCAAGAATAATATTATTAAGAGGATCAATGGAGAATGTATATAAAGTATTCAACAAATATTTGTCTCCTGTCTGTTCTTCTACCCTAGCTAAAAGCAATCATTTTTTTATTTGAGAACTTAGAAAATATATTTCTCAATATATGATCCTGTCTTTGCATGTTGAGTTTTATTTTTTTTAAATATTTTTTAGTTGTAGATGGACACAATATCTTTATTTTTATTTATTTAATGTGTTATGAGGATCGAACCCAGGGCTTCACATGTTCAAGGCAAGCACTCTACCACTAAGCTACAACCCTAGCCCATATTTTTTTAATGAAATTGTTTATCTAATTTTAACTTTAACTTATTCTCATAGGGAGTCACTTCTTTCATAAACCAAGTCACCAGTCTTTAGAACTATTTAATTAGCTTTTTGTTAACTGAATTATTGCTTTGTTCCTCATCATAAACATCTACTTTTAACTCTTTTCATACCACTTGAAAACTTATGCTCATGACAATAATTCATCCCCTTAAATTTATTCCCTTAAACTTTTAATTTGGTACGAATTTTATGTTTGTTTAAATCAATGTCTCATTTTGTTCTATTTATGGCTACCTATGTTTATTACAGCGCCAGAAAACTGCTTCTACCACAAAATCAACTTTTAGCCTTAAATCATCTTGTATCCATTATTATAATGAGGCCTCTCCCAACTTCCATAATCATGCAAGAAAACAGATTTTCTATTTTATAATTATTCCTTTGTAATATTTTAGTGTCTTTACAATCATAAATTTCTTTAGCTAAAAGAGACCTTTTAGCAATGATGAAATTGTACACCTTTATTTTATAAATGAGTAAAATGAAGGAAAGAACAATATTGATAGAGTTGGAACTAAAATCCTGATTTCTTTTCTCTAATATAGGTCTCTTTTCATCATACCACTTCAGGGAATAGATTGACATGAATTTTTGTTTTATATTCCCTTTGTCAACAAGGTTACCTTAAAACAAGCCTTAAGACCTAATTTGGAGAGCATTTAATTTCAAGAATAACATCAGTATGTCATAATGGGATTGTCTCTTGGTTCACAGGGATGCCAGTCTGAATCTTAATTTTACTATTATATTGTCTAGGATAGTGAATGAGAGCCGGCAGGTGCTCCAGGAACCTGACTTTGCTCAGTCACTCCTGAGGGACCCAAACACGCCCATCATAAGAAAATCAAGGGGCACTTCCACTCAAGGAACATCCACACATGCTTCCTCAACCCAGCTGGCTATGGTAGATGATCAAAGAAGCAAAGCAGGAAGTGTCCACAGCAAAGTAAGCAGCTACCACGGCAGCCTCCACAGATCGCGCGATGGCAGGTAGGTGTGATTGTAGCTTAGTTTGTTCCCTGTGTTGATTTATGGTCCTGTAGCTGAAGAACGAAGAGAAGCYATTTCTGAAACAGAAGTTGAACATTATTAAAACCTTTTGACATTTACTAGGTAGAGTTGTTCCAGGTTATGGTCAGACATTAAGCCAACCAGAGGACTTAGAATTTAATTTAGCAGGGCTGGGGATGTGACTCAAGCGGTATAGTGCTCACCTGGCATGCATGCGGCCGGGTTCAATCCTCAGCACCACATACAAACAAAGATGTTGTGTCCGCCAAAAACTAAAAAATAGATATTAAAATTCTCTCTCTCTCTCTCTTTAAAAAAAAAATTAATTTAGCCTTAAAACAGTTAAGCAATATGGAGTCATCATAGAACATTGAGTAGGGARAAGGTGAAAGTGGTAGGTTAGTTAGATTAATTAAGCTAACGATTATGGAATACACTAGTACAGTGCTATGCTAGGCTCCAGAAATGCAAAGATGACTTAAGCATTATCATAGTTCTTAATAAGTTTCTACCTACTCTATTTACAAAGATAGTGTAGTTAGTGGTGTGGTTAATAACTTGGGTCTGGACTGATGAGCCTCAGTTTTCTCATCTATAAAATAGAAATAGCATTAATATCTGTCCCTTAAGTAATGTTGTAAAAATTAAATGAGATAACATACCTGATTATTTAGAATAGTGCCTATATCAATAAGGGTCTGTTTTCAGTCTCTATTATTACAAATGAACAATTAAAAGTAAAATATAAGTATAGTAGTAGAGTCCAGGGGTTGGCAAAAATATTTTGGGCTTTATGAGTCACACATTGTCTATTCAAGTCTGCAATTGTAGCATGAAAACAGCCATAGACAACATGTAGTGAGAAACATGGGGGTGACCGTATTCCAATAAAATTTTATCTACAAAATCCAGAGGGGAGTCAGATTCAGCCATTAGGCCAAAGTTTGTCAGCCTCTGTTTACCAGGTACAATAAAATATAGAGAAGGGAGATAATTCTGGTGGGTGGGAGCATTTCAAAAAATGCTTCACACAGAGAATGTTTTAAGAGAGTCTGTCTGGGATGGGGGTTCTCTGTGTTTCTCATTTGCTAGCAAAGCAATAAAACTTTTTCCCTTTTCTTAAAAAGGAAAAAAAAAGAAGTTTGGCTGTGGGCTTCTTGTTAAATTGAGACACTAGAATTAAAAAGCAGTTAGGAACTTTGCAATAATTCATTGGAGAGATGATAAAGGCTTACAGGAGACTAGTGGCAGTAGGAAGAAGAAAAAAAGCTGACCTCAAATATATGTAGAAAGAAGAAATGATAAGCTTTGATGATAGGTTAATATTAGCAGCTGGAAACAAAAAAAAAAAAGTGCCAAAGATTTTCTTTCTTTTTTTAAGATTTCTTGTTTGGGCAAATGAAAGAGTGAAAATTCTGATATGTAAATCAGGAACATTCTGTGTTTACTTCACAACATCTCCATCTCGAACTATTTTGTATCCTGTTGATCTCAGACCAGCCTTTTCTTAGTTTTCTCCCTGTCCTCCCACTGTAAAATGTGACCCCTATACTCTCCTTTATTTTTTAGTTGTGGATGGACATAATACCTTTATTTTATTTATTTTTATGTGTTGCTGAGGATCAAACCCAGTACCTCACTCATGCTAGATGAGCATTCTACCACTGAGCCACAACCCCAGCCCTATAGTCTCCTTTTTGACCGTCTGGTTTTCCTTTCAACCTGCTTTCTTTTGCCTTCTAATTTGATCAGCTACCCTATGCTTTAAAAAGCAACAATCTTTCTTCACCTCTGATATATCTTCTATCTGTGTATGTRTACACGCACATAATTTAGGCATTGAACCTAAGGCCTTGCACATGATAGGAAAGTGCTCTACCATTGAACTACATCCATTTTTATTTCAAGTCAAGGGTCTTGRTAAGATGAATGTTCTTAATATTTCCTATCTATTCTGTCCTTCATCCCTTGTAATACTAGTCTTTTTCTCCTCCTTACTTAGCTGCACTATACCCTTTAACATCACCAGTGACTTCTTAACCACGTTCAACGATTCCCTTTTGCTTTCTGGCTTCTTTCCCTCTACTTAGCACTCCTACATAAGAAGCATTCTTCCAAGTGCTAAGAATGCAAAGATGGAACAGAAACTAAATTATCAATTTCAGTACATTTTAATAGGTATAATAAAAGTATATACATGGTGCTTTGGGATCCCAGAGAAGAAAACCATTTGCCTCATCATGGAAGGTCTGAGACAACTTCCCAAGATGAGGCACTTCTACTTCAAATAGGATTTGGAGAAGACAATTGGGAATGAAAGATGAGGAAAGGGCTGGGGATGTGGCTCAAGCGGTAGCGTGCTCGCCTGGCATGCGTGCGACCTGGGTTCGATCCTCAGCACCACATACCAACAAAGATGTTGTGTCCCCCAAGAACTAAAAAATAAATGTTAAAAATTCTCTCTCTCTCTCTCTCTCTCCTCTCTCACTCTCTCTTTTAAAAAAAAAAAAGAAAGAAAGATGAGGAAAAAGCATGTTCAGAGGCAAGGAGGACAGACAGGTTGTTAGGTGCCCGGGCACATTATGCAAGTTTGATATTTATTTTCTATATAACTGGTTTCTAATTATTCATGGAAAGGGTGTTCATATTTGAGAATTTTTTGAGAATAGTCATAGATATCACTTATTTAGACATAATTATACAACAGAGTGATTTTTTCCTACAAAAAATGCTTTCTTTGAGTTTTATTTCTAACTCAAAAGATTTAGATTTTATTTTAAAAAACACCAAATTCATATTTAAATGATGATTTATTTTTAAATTACATTCTACCTTTACTAGAACACTGCAGTTTGCTTTTTTCATTAGCCATATTTATTTTAAATAAATAGCCATTGAAAGGTAAAAGATCTCCAAATCAGTTGGCAAATCATATTTGGAAACTTGGGAAAATCTTGCTTAGTTTTAGGACAATAACCATTATCCAAAATAACAATTTTTAAAGTAGAATAACAAGAATATTGTGGAACTGAAACCATGCTGAGGAGTTAAGATGTTTCCCTAACAGCAGTGATAAACTATTATGGGACTGTGAGTGCTGGGGGTGATAAAAATCAGACTTGAATTTTAGAGAAACTACTTGGCAACGGCATAAWAAAGAAGGGGATTGTAAATTAGACTGGTTATGGGGCTGGGATTTAATTTTTAATAATTTTTTTAGTTTTTGGCGGACACAACATCTTTGTTTGTATGTGGTGCTGAGGATCGAACCCGGGCCACACGCATGCCAGGTGAGCGTGCTACCGCTTGAGCCACATTCCCAGCCCATGGGGCTGGGATTGTGACTTACAGGTAGAGCACTCGACCAGCATGGGCAGGACCAGGGTTCAATCCTCAGCACCACATAAAAATAAAGGCATTGTGTTGTGTCTATCTACACCTAAAAAATAAATATTTAACAAAAAAACAAAAAGATTGGTTAGGAAGTTTCTACAGTAATTCAAAGGTCCTAATTTAAGATACTGATAAGAATCAAAGTTTTAGAATATATTTTATCAGTTACCACCTTCATCATTGACTTGAATATTACTGATCTCTTCCTTTTCAATGAACAATGAACAATTATTTATGGTACAATTCCTTTATATGTGGCATTCTATGTATAAAGATATATAGAAGAAAGGTAAGGTGTAATTTCTCCATTCTAGGAGCCATGTAACCTTATAGAAAAGGACATATACAAATGAACCTATCACATAAAAGCKCAGGCCAGAATATAATTTAAACAGTATTAGGTATGATTGATGTTTGTAGAACTTCAGGAAAGAGAAAGATTAGATTGGTCCATGAAAATATAGAAGACATAAATAGGGTAAATAAATTATAAAAGATAATTCATATTGAGCTATAGAGGAAATAAATAGGGTGAATAAATGGTAAAAGATAAATTCATAGTGAGCAGAGAATTTCTAAGGGCAGTTAAAGATAGGAGATTTCAACCAGTGTAATCTGAGTGGAACTGGAGTTTAAATAAGAAAGTTTTTAATCATCAGTATAAGGTAGTGGTAATTAAAATTGTGAGATGGAATGCCTTGAATCACAAGGGGAAAAAGTACAAGACCCTAGTAAATACTTAGAGTAGTAATAATAAAGGGAGAAGAAGAGTGGGCATGTGATTCAGAGAAAGTACTCACAAACCTACAAGGGAATCTGTGAATGTGTTTGTCACAAAAACCAGAGGATCCAACATGATTTCCTACCTCTCTGTGTAATCAAAAATCATACRCTTGCTTCAGGGCTGTGTAATTCCAATTTCCATGGCAGTTAATTTACTGCTTTTTATAATTCTTTAGGTTATGATCTATTTTCAGTACAGTTTCTTTCCTCAGCTAAGTTTGCAACTTCTAGAGAATGAGACAAGGTGACATATGTTTCTGTATTCCTTCTTAGTATATAGCACTGTGCTAGGGATATATATAGTAGGAGATGAGCAAATCTATCAGAGAAATAATGACTTTAGAGAAATATATCCCTTTCCCAGAAATTCAGGGCCAGAGCTACAATGGCACCTATAGAAAGCATCCTATATTGAGGCTCATGCTATAGGACCCTCTGCCAGATTGAGAGATCACAAACTATGTTGAACCTGAAAATCCAAACAAGGATTTTTATAATTCCAAAAGTCATCTGATTGAGATTTCTTTCTACTTCCTTGAAACTTAACTTTGCATGCTAATGCTGTCTCTTGGTCATCCTCTCACTGTCTCGTGGTTTCTTGGCTGTGGGACACAAACATCTAACACCCAGTGCAGACAACTTAATGAAATATTATTGATCTCTGTGCTGTGCACACCTACATATATATGTTAACTTCAAAGAATAAGTAATTGGTAGTTAGATGAGAGGATGTGTAGAAAAGGAAGTGGATGAGTAGGTGGGTGGAAGTTTGGAAATGAGTGATTAGGTTGGTAAGTAGGTGATCTGACAAGGAAAGCTGGGGAGTGAATAATGAAGTACTAGTAAATCTTCAGTTAATTCAATTATTATGATCAATGGGAGCAAATAATATAGAGAATCAAAAAGAATAAATCATTTTCTAGTGTTTTTTTTTTCATTTTAACTTTGGAATGTACTATATTATCTTCTTTTTTTTTTTTTTAAAGAGAGTGAGAAGAGAGAGAGAGAGAGAGAGAATTTTTTAATATTTAGTTAGTTAGTTAGTTAGTTCTCGGCAGACACAACATCCCTGTTGGCATGTGGTGCTGAGGATCAAACCCGGGCTGCACGCATGCCAGGCTAGTGCGCTACCGCTTGAGCCACATCCCCAGCCCCTATATTATCTTCTTAACAGTGGCAGTAAAATAACCATCCTAATTGTTTTGCCTAACCTTATATTAAAATTATTGCATATTCATATTATGTATTAGAATATATAGTCATTGATTTGAATGACCTTGAAAAAATAAATTTGGCAATTCTACACATAACTRAGATTAAACACTATAATATTTTTTATATAATTGATTCCTAATTATCCATGGAAAGGGTGTTCATATTTGAGAACTTTTTGTGGATAGTCACAGACATTACTTATTTAGATATAATTATACAACAGAGTAATTTTTCTACAAAACTGCTTTCTTTGAGTTTTATTTCTAACTCAAAGGTTTGATTTTATTTTTAAAAAATACCAAATTCATTTTAAATGATGATTTATTTTTTAATTACGTTCTACCTTTACTAGAACTCTGCATAGTTTGCTTTTTCATTAGCAATATTTATTTGGAATAAATAGCCATTGAGAGGTAAAAGCTCTCCAAATCAGTTGGCAAATCATATTTGGAAACTTTGAAAAATCTTGCTTAGTTTCAGGACAATAATCATTATTCAAAATAATAGTTATTAAAGTAGGATAACAAGAATATTGTGAAATATTTTTATCTGCAAACATTGTAAATTTTTAAAAATATCTTTTATTTATTTTTTTTATCGAACCCAGTACCTCACATGTGCTAGGCAAGCGCTCTACAGCTGAGCTATGACTCCAACCCCTGTAAATTATTTTGCCAAAATATGTAGTACAAATTTAAATCTGTTTGGATCCTAAATGTGAAATATCTGTAATAAATGAAAACTACATATTATTTTAGCCATTAACATGAGAAATTTTTTGAACWTTTAAATATGCATCTTTTCATTATTAAATTTTCTTAAACTGGAAACAAAGATATGCCTTTCAAAAATTATTTTCAAAGGAGTTCTTAATTTTCAAACTTGGTAATCTAATAGAATGTTCTTTGATAAGCACATCTATAAAACCTGAGGACTGACGGGTGAGGTGGTGCCCGCCTATAATCCCAGTAACTCAGGAGGCTGAGGCAGGAAGATCAAAAGTTCAAAGCCAGCCTCAGCAACTTAGGGAGACCCTAAGCAATTTATCAAGACCCTGCCTCAAAATAAAATAATAATAAAAAGGGCTGGGGATGTGGTTAAATGGTTAAGCACCCCCTGGGTTAAACCCCCAGTATTAAAAAAAAAAAAAAAAAAGCGTCCACCTTAGTAGTGTATGAATCTTTCAAATCTCTAAACTTTATGAATGATTCACATTGAGTTATTATTATAAAGGAATGATATAGGAATGCTTTTTGACAGTCAATAAATCTTTAGCTGCTTATGATTGTTTTGATGACTATTAAAAGAGAACCAGATACGGTGGCATACACCTGTAATCCCAGGGCCTTGGGAGGCTGAGGCAGGGGGATGGTGAGTTCAGAGCCAGCCTCAGCAATGGGGAGGTGCTAAGCAACTCAATGAGACCCTGTCTCTAAAAAGTAGAAAATAGGTTTGGGGGTGTGGCTCAGTGACTGAGTGCCCCTGAGTTAAATCCCCCATACTGCTCCCTGATCCCCCCCAAAAAGACTGGTGATACAGCTCAGTGGAAAATCATTTGCCTAGCATGCACAAGATCCTGGGTTCAATTGTCAGTACTGCAAAAACAACGGAGGGCTGGGGTTGTAGCTCAGCGGTAGAGTGCTCTCTTGGCATGTGCAAGGCCCTGGGTTCGATCCTCAGCACCACATAAAAATAAATAAAATAAAAGTGTTGTGTCCAACTACAACAAAAAATAAATAAATATTTTWAAAAATATATTCCTTAAAGTTACAAATTATACTCCATTTTCTTTGTGTTTTATTATCCTAAATTAAATATTTTTTTTACAAAAGAGTGTATGTATGAGCATATGAACAAAAACTATTTTTGAATGCTGTTTCTTGAGGTACTAKGGATTTAAAGAGAAATAAAATATGGTTCTTATCCTGAAAGAACTCACTGCTGTGCAAGAGAGATTGATAATCATCTAGTAAACTATAAGTGAAGAACTAATAAAAAATTGTAATTGATTTTCATGACCTTGACTGGCCTAGAGCTAATAATTTCTCATTCCTCATGACAGAATTTTTTAGTATTCTTGCCTCTGATGAGGCTTACTGAGTTAGGATTGCAACAAAAGGAAGTTTAATAGTACTACTGATGCCTCTCAAGATAAGAACCGTGATGGAGGAGGCTGCCTGTGCTGAGCCATGTAGCCCAGCGACATGCTTGGAGCCAGTCTTGGRCCAAGGGTACAGAGAATTTACTCTAGTATGAATATAGGTTAGAGTGTAAGACTTTAAAGATGTCGCTTATATGAAAKATTCTTCACAGCCTGAAGTCCTAATGAAAGTAATTACAGGTGGTTAATCAGTTGTTAACTGAGTTATTTGCCAATGCATTCACTTATTTATTTAAGTTATACTAATTTCATCTCTGATTTCACATGCTTCTTCTTCAGATACTAGTCTTAGTAGAATTTGAGTTTGCACTACTACTGATTATAACTAGTCTTCTAGACTCCAGGGGCACTGTCATGTATCCTCTGTTGTTCCTCCTGGACCGCCTAAAACTTATTTGAATATGAGAAAAGTGCCCATACTTGGCACAGCTCCAAATCAGTCAGCCTCCCTTAACCCTAGGGTRACCCTTTTGTAGGCAATAAGACCTTAATTTTGATCCAGAATGGATTAGCTCATCATTTTTGTCTTTTGTTAGCTTTGTCAGATAATTCTATAGCYTTAAAGAAATTAACCAAAAGTTGGGTACTGCTTTTCATTGTTGGTTTCCTACTCATTTTCATGGAAGTTCTTAGTGTTATTTTCTAGTGTGTTCTGTTGCCCACCTCAAAACCTACTCTCCTGCGTCAGGTACACTCCCTGCAGTTACCGAGGAGTGGAGGAGAGACTACCTCACGGCAGCACATCACGACTAACGGATCACTCCAGGCACAGTAGTTCCCACCGGCTCAACGAACAGTCACGGCATAGCAGCATCAGAGACCTCAGCAACAACCCCATGACTCACATCACACATGGCACCAGCATGAATCGTGTTATCGAGGAGGATGGAACCAGTGCTTAGTTTGTCTTGTCTAAGGTGGAAAGTTGTGCTGTTTAAAAAGCAGATTTTATTCTTTGCCTTTGCATGACTGATTGCTATAGCTATTATCCTGCTTTCAGTCAGGTGCAGATTGTGTCCATTGGGAAGGTGAATTTTTGCTTTTTATATTGCATCAAACTTGGAACATCAAAGCATCCAAAATACTAAACATTATATCATCACAAAAATAAGTCTTTCTAGGTTGTGAAGAGATAATTATTTGTCTGGTAAGCATTTTTATAAACCCACTTATTTTATATTTAGGAAAATTCTAAGTGTGTGGTGACTGCTTTGTAGTGAAATTTCATATAATATGAACTAGTTGTGAGATAACATTCTGGTAGCTCTGTTAATACAACAAAGTTTCAGAATTAAAGAAATTTTCTATGCAAGGTTTATTTCTCAGATGAATAGTAGGACTTTGTAGTTTTATTTCCACTAAATAAAAAAAGAACTGTTTTTAAAGTGTAGGAAAATTTAATAAATCAGCAAGGGTATTTTAGCTAATAGAATGTAAGTGCAACAGAAGAATCTGATTCACCTGTGGAGATTCTCTCAAAATTCTATAAAAGTAATCCAGAGATATTCAGGATTTGGATAAACAATGGATAAACAGAGAGATGGGCATTTTTCCCTATAATTGTGTTGCTTTTATTACTTTTGTAAATATTACTTTTATTGGCTGTGTTTTTATAATATCCATATGCATGATGGAAAAATTTTAATTTGTAGCCATCTTTTCCCAGGTAATACTATTGAGTCATAGAACTTCATGTTCAGATCTGCTGTGTGGAGGCATGTAGTAGCATCACACATTATAAGGGGTTTTTTTGTGTGTGTGTGTGTGTGTGTGTGTGGTAACCACAAAATGGCAAAATGTTTTCTCTGTTTTCATTGTTGTATTTTATTATGGTGAGATTTGACCTTGCCAAACCCACCATACCTTGATATCCAAGCCCTCTCTATAGTGAGCTGATTGTCTGCAATGCATTCATTGTTCAGTAGGCAGTTGGCTACAGCTTTTGCCCCACATCCCTGTTTTCAGTTTCTGGACCATTCTTGTTTCAGCTGAAATATATATATAATCTATGTCCAAAGTGGTGATTAATTTGGATATTTGAAAATCATTGTAGCTAAATGAAGCATGATTAGTCTCACTATGAATATATTTTAATCTTAAAAAATATCAAGTAAAAAATGTTTGACATTTTATCTTGTAATGTTTAATTTACAATATGAACTGTGAATTTTATTAGGCATGAAATTGATCGGAAGGGAAAGAAAATGTCTGGAAAATGCCAAATGTGTTCTGTAGAAAACACAAGTGATCCTTAACCCTGATTGCAGATAAAAATCACTTGGGGAACTTCTGATACATGCTCTCCCCTACATCATTCTCTTATTTAGATGAGAATTGCTAGCTTTTTAAAAGAAGCTTTCTGAGTGATTCTAATTTGCAGCCACATTTGAGGCACATGATTTGAAACTCATCTGCCCCTGATAGTGATCTGATGGCATTGCATTATATCCTATGAAGATCTAGCTGGATTCGACAATATGCTTTTATGTCATTACCTATCATACAATTGTTTCCTACTTTATTTCCTACATTTAGAAATGCATAATTCTTGGCTCCACTCCCAGAGATTCTTATTCAATAAGAATTGAAGGTAATTGGGCTTTAAAACCTGTAGTTATAAAAATACCACAGATGATTCTTATGCAGGTAATTTGGGACCACACTTAAAAAATATTCTAGACTCTTGGGGAGTCCTGACTCTGCCATATTGCTAGTTTTTGACCTTTAACGATTCAATCTCTTTGAACCTGGGTCCCATTATTTGAAAATGAAGATGAAAGATTAATACCTATTTTACCTACCTCACAAAGTTGTTGAATTAAGATCAATGAAAACAATTTTATGAAAGCTCTTTGCAAACTGTAAAGTATGAAATATAAGGGACTAAGATTAGAGGGCTTAATAAATGTGTTTTAGGACTACTGTAGTACATTTCTTGACATGTTTTTAATTCCTGTGTATATTTGTTTCTCTCCCTCTTTTAAAAAAAAATAGTACCAAGAGAATAGGTATTGAAAAAGAAGCTTTCACTGGGCAGAAGAATCAGTCTGAAAATCATAATTTATTTGTATATCATCTTTCATAGTACATATATCTTAATATGAATTATCAATTCTTCATAAGATATATTTGAACATTTCACCCAATTTTTTTCCTCTGTTCTCTGTCTTTCCCTGGAACTAGAGTTAATGCTCTAACAGGCAAGGTCTGAATTCCCTCACAACTGATAATTAGTAAACCATTCCTCTGAAGAGCCCATGTTATAACCTACCTATAAACAAATCAATAATTCATAAAGCTTTGAGAATTTCTCCTGAGAACAGCATGAGAGAACCAAAACAAACACTCACAAACAAAAATAAGAAGTTAAAATAGAAGGTACCAGTTTGAGCTCAAAGATGTTGTCATCTATCACCATCTGCATTATATTATCAACTGCCAAAATGTTAATTAGTTTTCATGTATAAGTGAGCCAAGTATAGACAGTTAAGTGAACATTGCTATGAAAATCTTAACTTTGTGTTTCCAGATTTTTTTGTATTTATGTGTCCTCTCTGTTAAAACTAATTGTTGCTATGTTTGTGAATGCTATTTTGACTTTCCAGTTACTTTCAGTAAATATCTTAATGCCCCACAAAATTTACATTATATTGTTAGTCTGTTGTTTTAAGTAATCAAACCTAGTGCTCCAAGTAAAGAATGTTTTCTTTTTGAAGAGACCAATGAAGAACTATTGCAAAAACAGCAATTTCAAGTCTTGACTTGCTTAAACCAACTTGAACAAGTGTGGACAGTCTTCTTACTGTATGCTTAATTTTTATTTGTGTCATGATTAGCATATGCTAGTGTTTAGTGTTTTGTTTGTTCAGTTGGCAACTGAGAAAAAAATACTTCTAAAATGTTCATATGTTGTCAAAAGGTTTTTTGAAAAGTAATTTCAACAATATTATTTTATTCAATAATTAGGTAAGAGATCCAAGACAATATTAAGATCCAAACAATAATTTATTTCAAACAACAATTGATTAATAACAACTATCACAGGGCTAAACATATAGTAAGTTTCTCCATATTTAAATTAATGAATAACTCATGTCACACAATTTGCTTTTTTTTTTTTTTTTTTTTAAGTACCAAAAATTGAATCCAGGGGCACTTAACCACTGAGCCACATCCCCAACCCCCAACCCCCTTTTATTTTATTAGAGACAGGGTTTCTCTGAGTTGCTTAGGGCCTCGATAAATTGCTGAGGCTGGCTTGGAACTCGTGATCTTCCTGCCTCAGYTGCCAGAGCTGCTGGGATTACAGGTGTGCACGAGGGCACCCTGCTCACAGTTTGCTTTTTACTGTCTCCCATCAAATTTGAAAGATTCAGATTTAAACTAAGTGAAGTAAATAAGAAACAATTTACACCAAGTAAGCTTATTTCTCCTAGAATAACAGTCTGTTATTATTTTAATTAAAAAAATAATATATATATATCAACCATTTTAATTAATTTTTAAAAATGAATAGTGATTCTTAGAAATAAGTAATTAGGGCTGGGCTTATGGCAGTGATGGAGTGCTTGCCTAGCACATATGAGGTGCTGGGTTTAATCCCCAGCACCACATAAAAACAAATAAAGTAGATGTATTGTGTCCATCTACAACTAAAAAGAAAAAAGAAATTAAACTCTTGTTAGTCCTCATGCTAAGTAAAATTTCTATGTACCAGATGAATGAATAGATAGTCAAGCAAACCTTTTTTTTTTCTGCTGCTTCTGAAAGCAGATCTATAAAAATTCTAAGAATCTCTTCGAATTAGGAAAATGTACTGCATTTTAACATACCTCATTGTCTTTGTTATGGTAATAGCTGAAAATAAGTGAAATTGTACCCATCATAGCTTAAGCTATGTCTCCATGAAATGAAAGGAAGTACTTAAAAATTTTTTGGTAAAATATAGTGGGTCATTGCCTGGAGCTTAGAAGATATATACCAACATTTCAGTGTATTTATAGTGCTTTTTGACATACCAAAGGTACATTATTTACACATTCTCATATTTGGTTGACTTATGTAATTTAGTGTAATGAAAATTTGACCAGGCTTGAAATTCAAAGACCCATAATAATTATGTCAACTGTATTGGTCATTTAATTTCTCTTAGTCTAATTTCTTCAGTATAAAATGAAAATAGTGTATTTTTTGGTCCCAGCCTACTTCACTGGATATTGTGAGGGTCAAAGGAGACAATAATGTGTTGGGCTGGGGTGTAGCTCAGTGGGAGAGCACTTGCCTCGCTTGTGCAAGGCCCTGGGTTCCATCCCCAGTGCTGGGGAACAAAGAGCATACATAAACTGCTGTACTGATACTGTCTTTGTTAGAATTTGGGGGTTGTAGAAAGCAAGGATATAGTCTTCAGTAGTATTTGTTTTTATAGTGACAACAAAATAGGTAATTAGACCAGTGTTCATTCAATAAACCCAATCAGCACTCCAATTAACTTTTTTTTAAAAAAGGTTCTTTTAGAGTAACTATTCTTTTTAATTGTTTGGTTCTTTCAGATATGTTACACCAAGTGTGCACTCAAATTTCATATGGCTGAATTTCTAGGTCACTTCTAATAGAAATTGGGGGTCTCCGTTTTTTTGTTTTTCCTTTTATATGGAACTGTATGAGCTCATTATTAGCTTGGCTTGGTGGAAACTTATAAGAAAAATATAAAGAGGAATGTAGGCCCTGTAATCATTTTTCTTTGAGGACTTTTATGTACCTGATTCTTTCTGATTGAGAACAAGTTTTGAAAAGATGATTACTATAATTTGTTTATTTTTTTATTATGGCAAAACTTTGAATTTTAAGCTATAATACTATGGGAATCATTTGTATATATGTACATGAATTTTTAAAAACCTGTGTAAAGCAAGAATTTCTTCTTCATTCTTTACACATGAACAAAGTAAGACATTTTTATAGACCCTAGATTTACAAAGGAATTTGTGATTCTCTTATTTAAACTTCTTTTTTGCCTTTTTATGACCAATTAAAATAAGGAAAACTTTTTACATTTAATTCAGCTGTGTTTCCTAGTATCCATATAATTTTATAGATTATCTTATATAATTTTGATCTATTTTTATGAAATATTTATATTGTTTAATTCTCTTCTTTCTAGTTATATGATTTTGGTAAAGGCATAGGAAGATGTAACATTCTTCACTTTCCTTCTCTTATTGGTCTATGTTTTTTCTAACTTAATTTGAACCCTATTTTTTTAGTAATCAATTTGATACAGGATTATATTGTTCTCTCAGGATTCAGGTCTTCTAGGAAAGAAGTCCATCCAGAACCAGCCACCTTGGTGGACATTCCTGTTTGGTTAAATTATAAAGATTTAATATAATTTAATCAGCATATTTCTTACTGTGGTCTCTAATTAGAAAGTAAAACTTGGTTGCTATAAAGACAAAGTAAAGTTTTTACTAATAATTTATTCGAACCCCAAACCAATACAACATTGCTTCCCATAAGGTAGAATAGTAACTCCACCTCATGCACTGAAGAGTAGTTTCCTTTCCAGGACTCTTTTAATAATCACCTGTCTCAGGAAATCTTTGGTGTCCTTCATGGACATTTTTGTTGTCATGATAGTGTTTTTCATATCTTATTCTCATTTTATTGGCCTCTACACCAGTTTTCCCTGATGGAGAAACAAATTTTTTACCTTGTAATAATATAAAACTTAAAGATTCCATGTT